TTAGGGTCAATTATGAAATTATTTCCTAATTTCACATAATTAATTAATTAACTTCCTTAATTAACGGTGCAGATTCTTACAGAAAGCGGCAAACAAGAACATCAAGAAGATCATTCAAAAGATGGTGATAACATACAGAGACTGGAATGAAATGCTTCCTTTTGCCTTGCACAGATATCGCACCTTTATTCGTACCTCAACAGGTGCCATCATATTCTCTTTGGTGTACGGAATAGAAGCAACGCTTCTTATTGAAGTAAAGATTCCCTCGTGGAGAGTCTTGATGGAGACAGAATTGGAAGAAGCAGAGAGGGTCCAATCTCGACTTGATCAATTGAATCTTATTGAAGGAAAAGATTAAATGCTCTTTGTCATGGCCAATTGTATCAAAAGAGGATTAAGAAATCTTATGAGAAGAAAATAAAACCTCAGCAATTTCAAGAAAGAGATTTAGTGCTAAAAAAAATTATTCCCATTTAAAAGGATCACCAAGGAAAGTGGACTCCCAATTATCAAGGGTCCTATGTTGTGAAGAAAGCCTTCTCCGGAGGGGCCCTAATACTCACAAAGATGGACGGTGAAGATCTACCGCTCTCGGTCAATTCAGATGCAGTTAAGAAGTATTATGCTTATAAACAAAAAAGAAGAAGAAGAAGTTGCTCGCTAGGTTGAAAACTTGATAAAGGAGACCTAGGCAAAAATTAGAGCGACATGATAGGTTGAAAACTCGAAAGAGCAACCTAGGCAAAAGATATATCAATCTTGCATCAAAAGGTCTCCCAAACCGGGACAAATCAGGCATTTGAGACATAAAAGGCTAGGGCAACCTGTATCTATACAAGCTGATCAAGGCGTGTTTAAGATGATAAGCATGGGAAGCTAGCATTGGTCATTAGAAAGAGCATCACCGGATGAGTTGTAACCCTCTCTTTTACCGTTACCTTTTGGAATTTCTTTGTCTCCTTATTCTCTACCATATAGCTCCTTTGTATCTTTGCCTTTTTCACACAATATTTATAACAATTTTTTTCTTCGATTCCATTATCGATCGCATATGCATTTTTCATGATAAGTTTATATTGAAATATGAAATGTTTGATGATATCATATGAGCATAATTGCTTCAAAAGATCATGGTAAACATGATAAAACTCCCACAAGCGTGGTACAACAAGTAATTGATATCAGACTGTAATTCATAGGATTGACATTATAGTTCAGATAACAATGCAAAGAAGGAACTAAGAACGCACTTCAATTTATTCTTAGGTTAAAAGGCATTTAAGATTGTGAGGAGACAGAACTAAGGGTTGTCATGGAAACAAAGCAAAAAAATCTCCAAATTTTAAAATTTCAAGAGTTTCTGCATTATGTGACATGCATTGTATCTTGCATCATCTTCACATTTAATAGAAAATAGAAAGAAAAATGACAAACACCATGGTTCTTTATTTTTTCAGTATCCATGTCTATATTAGTTAAAGTCGGGTCCAAGCCCGCACCTTTTACTTTCCTAGCTCAAATTCGGGTCCAAGCCCACACCTTTACTTTTCCTGCTCAAGACGGGTCCAAGCCTGCACCTTTAATTTCCCAGCTCAAGACGAGTCCAAGCCCGCACCTTTTACTTTTCCAGCTCAAATTCGGGTCTAAGCCTGCACCTTTACTTTTTCAGCTAAAGACAGGTCCAAGCCCGCACCTTTAATTTCCCAACTCAAGACGGGTCCAAGCCAATACCTTTAAATTCAGCTAAAGTCGGGTCCAAGCCCACACCTTTACTTTTCCAGCTCAAGACGGGTCCAAGCTCGCACCTTTAATTTTCCAACTCAAGACAGGTCCAAGCCCGCACCTTTAAATTCCAGCTAAAGTCGAGTCCAAGCCCGCACCTTTAAATTCCAACTAAATTTGGGTCCAAGCCCACACCTTTAAAATTCTGTCAAGATGAGTCCAAGCCCGCATCTTAAATTTTTTGCCAAGCTTGGTCCATTCTTTCGTTCCTTTAACTTGTGGACACTGTGTTCGTTGTTGATAGCTGTTAGAGCTCCCAAGCTCGTTGTTCTATAATTTTTGGTTCCCCGTGTTCATCGTTGATTGTTTTTGGAGCTCTCACGCTCATCGTTATTTAGCTTTTGAATCCCTCACCTCTTTTGTTCCTGGACAAAATTGGATTTCGTATCTTTTCTTCTTCCTTACAATGATAATATGAAAAACTATAATTCTTCGAATTATCTAGTAAGAAATAAGTAAAGAGAGGCAGCTGTAGACACCAAAAACTGTCCAGGATATTCAAATTTAAAATAAAAAAAATCTTGTGACTAATGTAGCTTCTGCAATGGAAGTTTGGTTACTATTACAAGGCACCATGTTTACTTATGAAAGTAGTAAAAGCCAGAGACAAAAAATGGAACATTGAAAAGATCTCCATATGGTTTGAGCATGGCACCCTTGCAATACACTGGAGAGTTCACCTCTACCTATTACCCACCATATAGACCGAGGGAAGCTCTTCCTTTTCTTCCTCTATAAAAATCAGAAATGCATAGCAAAGATAGAACTTTTTTTTGGCTTATGGTTACTCTATAAAAAAGAAAATATCAAAAAAATAGTAGAAGAAAGGTAGAAAAACCCAAGTTTCTTTGCACCTAAGCACCCACAAACTCAAAAACGCAAACTTTCATATCCAACACAACCAAAACCATATCATCAGTCACTATCTACAAGCACCTTCAACCACCGGTTCCGGTCACCATACACCGTCGTCTCCACCGGCCAGTTAGCATTGTCTCACTGCTGGACCACGCACACCACCGCGCACGCCACCATGACTGCAACCATCGACCTGAACCGCCCATCTCTGACCAGCGTATACCCAAATCAAAGCCAAGGTTTTGACTCAAGCCACTCCGTTAGCCATTGCATCAAGCCTCACTACATTTCTTCTGCAACGGTAACAGAGGACCACCTTCCTCTTTGTTTTTTTTCTTTTTCATTTGAACATGAAAAGATATTTTCGATAACTTTACTGATGAACTTGTTTTCCATTATTAAAAAAATTATTTTTCTTCCTTCCACTGGGTCATTTATTATAGTTTATTAGCTTTGGATATTTTATTATAGAGTAAAGACCCAAATTGGTCCCTGACAAAAAATGCGGTGGCCAAATTAATCCCCAAGAAAAATAGACTCGTAAAATAGTCCCCAACAATGTGAAACAGGACCCACGTTAGTCCTTCTGTCAAACCAAAATTGACGGTGTGAGTGACGGTGCTGATGTGTCACGTTAAGTGACATGCTGAAGCCCACGTGGAGATCTTGGACGACATCGTTTGTTGAAGCTCAGCCACCTTGGACACAGTTCTCTTTTATCCAAGAAACGTCGTCGTTTGTTTGTTAGGGTTCAACTTAAACCAGAAAGCATGGCATCGAATCGAAGGTTGAACGCATGACTTTGGGGAAAATTGATTGACGGTATAGGGAAGGTGGGTGTATACTGTTCGATTTAGGGTTGATCTTTGTGTTTATGCCATGATTATGTCTTCTGAAAGGGGGAGCTCAGGTAGTTTGTTTGGGTCCAGAAGTGGAAGAAGGAGAGCTGCTCCATTGTGTAAATGTGGGAGGCACAGTGTTGTTTACACCTCCAAGACACCTAGAAACTTTAATAGATCATTTTTTGGGTGCCCCAACTTCAAGGTGAGGTTGATTTTTTCATGCGTTATTTTTGGTATTTCAATCTTATGAACTGTATATTTGAATTTTGTTTAGGAAAAGAAGCCGTACTATAAATTTTTTACATGGGTGGATGATGCTACATCTGATACCATGGAGCTGGAAGATTGGACAATTAACAAGTTGGAGTTGAATGTAGTTGAAATGGAGTTCAAGTTGAACTTTTTGGACATGAAGCTCAATGATGAACTGCAACTGTAGGTGAATGACCACAAAAAGAAGATTAATGAGCACTGTATAAAGATTGAAGACATAGCAATGAAGATGCAGGCAGACTTTGAAAGGGTTGAGAAGGAAATGATGCATGTGTGTAGGTGTGCTAGGGTGTTTGCTGGATCCATTATCATTGTCTTTGTAATATATTTATATCTTTGTAGTAGGGTGGAGTGAAATGTTCATTTTTAATCTGTAATATGTATGCTTCTCTGTAATGGAAAAACCACTGTTGGGATGTAATGAGATGTTGATTGTTCTTAAAATGGTTAATGTCCTTGAACTTGATTGTTCTTAAAGAACAACCTGCTAAGTATTAAGTTATTTGGAAATGCCAATTAAAATGGTCAAAAGACTGTATGAGCAGTAACAACAAGGATTGAGGGAATTATACAGAAGGGGGGAATGAGCTTTTGTGGTAACAACTTTTTGTGGCATTGGTCTTACTGTCATGTTTTTCAGGGACTAATTTGGGCCCTGATGAATTTGTTAGGGACCTATTTGACCTAGTGTAAGGGGAATTTACAGTGAATAAAAATTAAAATACAATCTCAAATCAGCATGAATAATATCAGCATGTATAAGGGGAATTTACAGTGCTGGATTTTTAAGTGACCATATTAAAAGAACTGTTGTAGGGACCAATTTGTACCCCCGATAAAATTGTTAGGGACCAAAATGGTCCCTTCTGTTAAAGAACAAGGACTAAAATGGTCCTCGATAATATTTGTGGGGGACTAGTTAAGGTTATTAAACATTATTAGACAAGGAAAACAGAACACACATACCACATGATTTCATAAACCAGATACTGCATGACATTGGCAGCAACAGAGATGAAAAAATTGTAAACAATCCACAATATTCAATAAGATCAATGACAACAATGGCAACAACAGAAGCTTGCTTGCAAATATTCATTAACAGCAAGTCAATGGCAACAACACAAAACACACATACCAGAACACACATACGAAGGACAACAAACAGAATACTACATGATCATCAATGACAACAACCAGAACAAACAGGACAAACTTGGCAATCCAAAATATTCATTAACATCACCAAGCAGAATTACTAAGGACAGCTTCATCAACAACAGGACTATGGCAAAATATTCATTAACAACCAAAATACAATTAAGTATGAAAATTCTATGTGAAATAAATAATTGGAAGCACAACCAAAAAAACCTTACCTTCTGTTGATTCGAAATGAAGTTCCAACCAAATATTGCATGGTCCCCTAAATCTTCCTGTAATAATGTCAGAAACCACTTCCAATTGTCCTTCGTCTCACTATCAACCACGACATATGCAATCACATAGAATTGTTTGTTTGCATCTTCACCCACAGCACTCAATAATTGACCTCCATAATAGCCCTTCAAAAAGCATCCATCCAACCCAATTAAGGGCCTGCATCCAGCTTTGAATCCCTTCTTACAAGCATCAAGGCAGATGTACATTCTGTCAAATATTGGCAATGATTGTGGAATAGGTTGGGGGTGACTTGCAATTTGCAACTGGAGCCAGGGTTGCTCCTCAACAGTTCTGCCAAATATTCCCTTAATCTTCCATATTGCTCCTTCTCACAACCTTCAATGGTCCCCTTTGCTTTTTTCAAAGCCTTACTTACTTTCTTCATATCCAAATGCACATTGTATTCCTCCTTCGTGTGCTCAAATGCCTCTGTCCTTGTCATCTTGGGCCGTGTTACTATTCTCTTCTCCAATTTCTTGGCCACCCAATCTCTTGTAGCCCTTTTATTCTTGAAGACTCTGCAGCATGTATGAGTCTCTTTAAAAGTCTTAACTTGGAATGTGCTTTGCTTATTGTTCCAGGCACAATACACCATCCATTCACAGTCTTCTACACTGCATTTGGCCCTTACTCTCACCTTGTCATTCTTAACCCATACGAAGTTCCTCCCAAGACTGATATTGTAATCTTTTACTGCACACTTAAATTGGTCCAGATTCATAAACTCCATACCAAGTTCTAAATGGACATGCCCAAAATAAGCTTGCTCATTGAACTTTGGCATAAGAGGTCTAACATTCTCATCATCATCACTTAAAGGAGGAGTCCTCAACTCCTCGGACAGATAGGTATATCCTTATTCCTCAAATGACATCATGGCTTTCTCTTCATCAACTGCTTCAGATTCAGAGTTTTGTATTGGGGCGTCCTTCTTGACTGTCTTCCTCCTTGGGGTCTGTTTTGCAGGCCTTTCTTTCTCTACAATTGGCACTAACATATCATCATCATCTTTTGAATCATCCTCAACACCAGGTGGGGGAGGCTTGTAAACCTCATCCTCTACACTCTCATATGAATCTGAGTGTGAGGTAGCATGGTCATCATCTGCATTATCTTCTTCAGACCCATAACCAGCATCCTCTGCACTGTCTTCATCATGGTCCGAATTGATCCCATTATCACCTTCTGCATTCAGGTCATCAGCAGCTTGTGCATGGTCTTCATCCAAATTCATCCCATCACCACCTTATGCACTAAGGTCATCAGCAGCCTGTGCATGGTCTTCATTTTCTTTAACCCCGACATCACCTTGTGCACAACCTTCATGTGAACTGACCCCATCATCAACCTCTTCATAGTCCTCATTATGTGCTGAATTAATGATATTATCCTCTTCACTGTCATGTGTAGGTGAAGCAAACTGGGGAATTGAGATGCCGCCCTCAAAGTAGACATGTATCTCATTGCCATTCCCTAAAGCAGACTCACACATAACACACATATCTGAATCTGTACTAAGAGGTCTCAGCCCCAGATCCAAATCGGGTACCCCAGGCTGTAGCCACATCATCCTCTTGCATTTTTCATACCCATATTGCTTAAACAGGGTGTCAAGGTCACAGATATTGCAGTAGTCAATTTCCATCTCCGGCAATGAGTCTACCCTTCCATATATATAGGTCATCACTCCATCTTCATCTCTGATAAACATACCACCGTGATGATAAACAATAACTAAGTATTCAGACATCTATCAAAACCAAAAACCAATCCTATCATTAAACCATGAAGCCACAGACTTTGAAAGTGTTAAACAATACAAAGCAATAAAAAAGCAACCTTTTTTATGGATGCAGACATGTATTCCAACGATTAACATGGGGTTTTTAAATGTTTTTAAATGGGTCAACCATGGCAGGGACCACACCTCCCGGTTGTTACTTTCTTTTAAAACAAAACCCTAAATGGAAACATGGACCACAATGTTCCACTTCGTGTATAAAAAAACAAGCATTAAACAAAAGGGAAACAATATGGGGATCACAAGCATTAAACAAAGGATGACAAACAACAATATAAAAATGTTTCAACATATAAATACTCATACCTTTTTGAACGGTATGCTCAGCCTCACAAAGTCTCCCAAGTTGTCTTTGTCTTCCACTGGTTCCCTTCGATTCTGGAAGAAGTTCGTAATATTCCAAACGCAGGCACCAGGGTTTACTCCACGGTCTTCTTCCTTCGTTCTCAACAATGAAGTGTCGATGTTAGAAGAGGGGGAAAAGGAAAAGTGTCCAACGATTAGGTGAGGGGAAAAATTGGGTTTTACAAAAAAAGGTTGTCCAAGGTGGCTGAGTTTCATCAAACGACGTCGTCCAAGATCTCCACGTGGGCTTCAGCATCTCACTTAACGTGACACATCAGCACCGTCACTCACACCGCCAATTTTGGTTTGACAGAAGGACTAACGTGGGTCCTGTTTCACATTGTTGGGGACTATTTTACGAGTTTATTTTTCTTAGGGATTAATTTGGCTACCGCATTTTTTGTCAGGGACCAATTTGGGTCTTTACTCTTTATTATATTGGAGGTAGGGTGGTAGTGTCATGGTCACGATTAGCTCTAGCCTTTAGGTTTCTCTTTCTTTTTTTCTTAAAAAATATAAAAGTAAGTTAAAATAAGCAAAATCATGATGATTTGCAGCATAGGCTTCGTTGTTTTTTTTTTCTTCCTAGAGTAGATTAGGTACTTTCATGATGTTAAAATATAAAAAATGAAAAGATATAAAGTAATAATAATAACAGGAAAAAGAAAAAAAAGAAAAAATACTTAACTAGGATAGAATTAAGTAAAAGATTTCAAATAAAATAATAATATCTTCTCTTTTTATTTCTTATTTTTGTCATTTAACTATCTTTACATTATGTAACTTGTGTATACGTTAGTGTGATATACAAATATATATATATATATATATATATAAGAATAAATATATCAGTATTATTTTTATCTATGCAATGATTTGCAACGTTGATGTATGGTCTTCCATCCTCAAGTGTTGTACATATCATATGGATTTTCGTATAGCTATGCTATCTTAAACCTTGTGCAATTGTGGATTTTTTTAAAAGAAATATTTTCTCTTAAGATTTAAGAATTTAAAATTAACTATCTAATAGGTATTTTTCTAAAATATCCTTGCGACGATGTATGACGCTGATGTATGATTTTTGACCTTCAAGTGCTGTAATCTTCGTAAGAATTTACGTGTAGCACTACTACCTTAAATTCTGAGCTATGATGGATTTATTTTCAGGATTAATAATATTTTCTCAAAGTTATTTTCAAAATTAAAATCAACCAACCCATAAATATTTTCTACAGAACGACGTAGCTTTGAGTTCCCTATTGCGACGAGGGATACGTCGGAGCGGGACCCACCCCATCAAGCACAAAAATAAAATTTCAAAATTTAGTTTTGTTTTCTTTGATCAATTTAGCTCAATCCTTTCGGGTGAAATAAATATTTAAGATTTTGTCAATAAGTTGCACAATTAATATAAGATAACCATTTTTTTAAAACGGACGGAGTAGGGTGCTAATATCTTCCTTGCTCATAATCGACTCCTGAATCCACTTCTTTTTTTTCAAAGACCAATTTTCAAATAAAAAGGGTTTTTCCAATATTTTCCCAAATTAACCTTGGTGGCTACTCGATTATTTTTAAACTTTGTATTCTTTCACCATCACGTTGTGATCTGATTGCGACATATATACATATATATATATATATATATATATATATATATATTATTTAAAAAATATTTAACTTGGGGCACTTTAAGTCTATTCCTCATTGTTAAATCATCACTTAGTAGGTTGGAGTCAGAGTTGAACATTTCCACCCGCTAAGAACATATATGAATTTCAAATCAAAGTTACAAGCTGCTAATACATCTTGTGAAATATTTTCATAATTATGATAATTGCTTACATGATTGCTTCCCGTCCTCACATCATTGCAAGAATATGTGTATCGTTAATAGCTTCGATGTAATCCTAAAGTTATTCATTTACAACAATAATTATGTTTTGAAAAATACATATTATAACAATGATAATTATAATTACGACATTATTATAATTAGATAATTATCAAATACCTTGAAATAAGGGTAAAACCTTGTGTTTTCCTTTATTTTAGTGGCGATATTCGATCTTGATTTAATCATCAAATCAGATGTCATTGAATTTAATGCTTTCGAAGTCTTGTGAAAATTTTCGCTTGCAACAAATTTAATAAGCCAAATGTAATATGAATTACACAACATCGAGTATTTTGGCCAATAATTTGTGGGAATAATACAAGCATTTCTTTAATACAAATAAATCTTGTATTCTTTAAAGCTATTTTTTCTCTAAGAATTGTGCACAACTTATGAAACACATCTTGATAGATTCTATATACTTGTCAGAAGATTGCAGGATCCTCATTCAATGCTTGATGTATAATAGTCATATCATATACTAATAATTTGTCATCATGTTAATGGACATTCAATATGTTCACCACACATCATAATTAAAAACTATTTTAGCACATGCATAATGCATAAATTTCGATTATGGCCATGTACACATCTTCATACAATTCTTCATCAACTCTTCTTCATGTTGTTCATTATCTCCATACATGATTGATTGTGACATTATATATATAAGCAAATATACGAGATTAAAAAGAAGAAAATAAAATTTATAAAAAAACTAAAAAATGTCTATGTTCTACTATATTACCTCTTTCTCTTTACACATGTTAAAAATAATAGTTAAACTTATACCTAAACCAAAATACTAAGTGTGTCAAATAAATTACAATAACTACAATAGTGGTTAGCAAATTGATTAGACCAAATACAATATGGACTGGCCAAAGTATATCGGGCCTAATCACACACGGTTGATGTGGTGAGGATGTTCTTCTTCTTGGGCCTGGAGTGGTTGATGAGGATCAATATATTCTTGTCCTTTGTTGGCGCGATGAGACTGGATAGGGGGGTACCCGCCAAGACACTTCGATGCTTAAGTCAGTATCAGAGGCAGGTGTAAGTATATGTTCTTAATGAATTAGTTGGATGTACCTGGGTGTGTACCCTCTGCTTATATAGTGGTTCTGATGCCGCCTTTATAAGGCGGTTTGTCCTCTGATTGGCCATGTTTGGGCTGCAGGTTAGGCTAGAACCTGAATAGCCTTATCTTCTTAATGTTGAGCTATCTTGATAGAGTTGTGGCGAGCTGGCGTTGTCCTTTGTTTATTAGTTCAAAGACGCAGTGAGTTTGCCTTGGTTCTTAAGTTATCTTCCTTATGTCTAGAGCTTATACCAAAGGGCGGTTTATGTGCGATGGGGGCATCGTGTCATGCCATGCGCACGATGATGGCCATCGTGCTTAGTTCTGGGCCCTTTAAGAGATTTGTTTTGACATTTGGAAAAGCTGTGAGGTATATTTGTATTTATGGGTGATATATTTCTTTGGCGCGGTTATATGTTTCCGCGATAATCATGTTGAAGTGCAATCATGATTTTTGGTCGCTTAAAAATGGTGGATTAGACGTTAACTGTCAGAAGCATTAAATGCTATTGCAATTACGTGGGTGTTTTAATGGTAAGCGTGGGTGGTTTTGAAGTGTAAACGTGTTACCTTCTTCCCACGTGTCCCTGTAAAACCGTTTAACTCAACACGTTTTATGACCTTCGGACTATCCATTTGATAAAGCTTTCATAT